AAGCAATATCTTAGTGACATTAAAGGTATTTAATTCAGACGTGATACAAATAGAAACCACCTCTGGAATAGTTCCATGTATCGCAGCATTAGCATCATTATTATTAATATCTGCTCCAGAGGTTGCAAAAGTTGCATTGTTAGGGGTTGACGAAACTTCATCAGGAATGCTGCCGAAAAGACGGTGTGTGGTTGCGCATCTTGATCTAGTAGGTCCATAAAGAGGGAAAAGCATTTCGATTGCCAGTAACAAGTCGCAGAATACCATCGGGAAGAGATTTTCGATTACCCTGCATAACACGAATAAGATCACGCAGTTGACCAAGCTTGATTTACTCATGATGGCATCATCAAACATTTTATTTGTGTCTTCATACGAAATGAACTTGCATGGATAGTATCACGCACAGATGGAGCAGGCATTGTAAACCTACAGTTGACCACAAGACCTGGCTTTCATTAGGATGCACATTTGGAGACACCTTAACATCATTAGTATTTTGACTAGTACGAACTTGAACCACCAGTTGAAGTTATTAATCATTTAACAAAGGTCAATTGTGATCATGGTAAACTTGGATAACAACTCTTTGTTCGACTTTACCAGTACAAACAATGTTGGATTGAACTATATACGTCACTTTGTACTTAAAACGTTGCATGCACTTACGCGTTCACCAAACCCGCAAGTACTGAAGTATGTTTAGTATTTTTAAAATATCTATGAATATTTACGAATGTTGCTGACCCGACGACACGGCGCTGATGTAGATCTAAAAAGGTCTGCCACCAAAGCGGTTTTGACTAGGTGTTGATGGTGGTGTTAAGCCAGTTGATCATGTGACTTTTGTAGATTAAACAGATTACTTAAAACATCTAATGCTGGCATTCAAAATAAAATAGTCAAGTTGATAGGTCACTCAAAACGGTTGAATCAGAGATAAATATCTGCTTCAAAGTGGTGTTACCAAACCATTGAATCCACAGCCATATAGATTTGTTTAGAGTCTAATAGATATTTGCCGTTAGAATCACCCTGATGTACAACATCAGCTCGAGAACAACTTGGAATCATCGCACATGCAAGTGAAAACACCAGAGCTTTGACTGCACCACCAGGTGCAAAATTACTATGGGATTGGTCTACAATGGCGAAATGGAATTCACTGTCGCATCCACTGGTTACTTTCAACAACGAATATTTTACACCAACACTGACTCAGTTGAGATAAAAAAAAATGATCTCGATCGTTATTTCGCTAGGACGCGTTTATTATGGTAACATTTACGGTAGGTAGGTGCAAAAGGTAGAGACGTATTTTGTGGTTTATTAAATTAAAGGGTTTCAGAACTGCAGAATGTACAATTGTTGGAGATTTATTAATTATTTCCCAAGAGATTTCCAATAACTGCATGATAGTTGTGCCAGTATAAAGAGATAGTTGGAAGGAAGTGCTTGTTTGTATTATGTCTGGAGGTGAGGAGTCTGGACAAGACATGCTAGTCGTGCATATGTATTACGCGATTCTATTATTCACAGAAAAACTATGATCGACTTTCACTGTCATCAATGAGGAAAAAATGATCGAAGCGGAGTGACAGCTGCGAGATGAAATCACCGAGAGAATAGCATTGATAGTGAAATACAATCGATCGTGCTTGTTCTTAGAAGCGATTTGTAGATATGCCGCAACAACTTTTGGCCTTGTTGCGGGTGAATCACAAAGCATTACCCATCAAAGGTGAACCAATCGGGATTGTTGTCAGTTTTATATCTATAGTAACTGGTGTATCTGGTGGTGATAGAAAATTAATTTCGGTTACATTCACGAATACATGTTTATTCAGACCTTCAAGCATCATCACAAAGCAGGTTCAACACGATTAGTAATATGTATTCAGCGGTTATCGAGAGTAAAAAAAGAAACGAGCCCGAGTTCGAGACTATTGTGGTGGAAATGGAAAATCACTGAAAACTCAAAGCACAAATAAGAAACCTCTTAGCGACTTTACAAATTGTCGTTGACTTTCGTATATTAGTATTAATACTTTGTGTCCTGCATGCCAAAATGGGCACAATCCATGGGGGGGGGGATAGAGGCCGTGATGTATATCAGTGTTCAAACAAACGAAATAGGCAAAAGTGGCATAATGACTACTCAGCGAACTAGCATTCTTTTTCCATGCTACCAGTTCTATTAATATTTTAAGATTTGCAAACAAAGGGACAAAACCCAATATACTGATCTCATTTGCCTTAAGACGTTGTCTCCCATTCTTTGTTCCGAAACACAATTAAGGAAGATAATATATAATGTATTTAAACATCATATATTTTATATAGTTTATTATTTTTTAATTATTATTATTATTATTATTATTATTATTATTATTATTATTATTATTATTATTATTATTATTATTATTATTATATAAAGGCACATAATCTATAATCACATAATCTTGGCTGGATGATGGGGCTATCTGTAGCTAGTGCTTTTAAGGATATACCAAAATGGTCAATGTACAATATTGCTCTTCATTTCAGGAACGGCTGCCTCGTGTATCAGAAACTGATGATTGGTGTAAGGAATCTCAAGGACATAACTTAAATCCAGCTAGGAGGTAAAAAAAAAATAAGTCCACAAGTAATCACAGGAACCTTTAATGTCTTTGATCTGTAGGGCACCTGCAGTGGCCAGTCATTAGCCACAGCATGTGACCTACAGACCAAAACATGTCTACCCCAGCAAAACATAGCCTGTTCAGTATGAGTAGTTTTGCTAAATAATCTGCACCAAATTTCTGCCCAACATAACACAACATAATATGGGAATGGACATGCTTTTAGAAAATACGACACTGCTGTATAATGATAAAGTAATATTGTTATTCAACAATTTAAATAATTCAGTTCGTATACAGTATTCGCCATCTCAGTTTTCATCAAATTGTGTCAGTGGCAATAAACAATAAATATAATCTTCCACTATTTTACGATTTTATTTAATTATTTAATTGTTTATTCATGTTTTCCAGTCGCGTGGTTATACCTTTAACAGGGTTGGGATCACAAAGGACGGAATTGGAAAAGACATTTTTTTAAAAAAAAAAAATTCAGCTGACTGACCTCTCACCCAAATCTTTAACAGCGATCACATGCACCCATATAGCTGCCATAACCGTAAATTTTCCGATTTTTGATAATATGTTCCAAAGAGTAACAGATAAGCAATAGTTGCCTATATATGATCTATTAGTTGCCCATATATGATCTATATTTAGTCCATACCTTAAATGCGTTAGTACGACAGTCACGTCATATTTAATTAAATTTAACTGGGAATATAGGTTTCACAAATATCTACAGGTCACGACTGTAATGCTTTTCTATATGAGATTCGTGCATTGCTCGCGGCTAGCTACCTCACTCAACGTTAGTTCACACCACCTTTTACCATTTATTAGAGGTGGGCAGTATTACTGGTATACTAGTTTATCGCGGTATTTTTTTTCCCCGATTGCATGTCCTTCCCTGTACAGACACTTAAGTATTTAAATTGGATCGGTTTGGTATTTTTTTTTCCCGATTGCATTACTCCCTCACTGTACGGACACTTAGATTCTTTTCTCTGTTGAGAGAGAGAGAGAGAGAGAGAGAGAGAGAGAGAGAGAGAGAGAGAGAGAGAGAGAGAGAGAGAGAGAGAGAGAGAGAGAGAGAGAGAGAGAGAGAGAGAGAGAGAGAGAGAGAGAGAGAGCTAGCTTGCTTTTGTTTCTTTTGGCTGTTTTTTTAATTGTTATTTTGTGGGGGCTCTTAATCAGCCGGGTACAATGACTTTTTAGATCATTTCAAACATGCATTCCTGTAAAATGCCACACGTCATCACACATGGCTGTCAAACATAAGTTTGCTCATTGACCCTGTTTGGCCAACGTTGGCCCAATGAATAACAACGTGTTTCCAATAACAACGTGTTTCCAATGACAGTCCAACTTTGTCCCTGTTTGGCCAACGTTGGCCCAATGAAGAAAAACGTGTTTCCAATGACAGTCCAACTTGTTAAAATGACACCACGTGAACGGCGCTTTACTCACTGACTCTCTCTCTCTCTCTTTAGCCAACGTGTTGACCAACATTGTTTCAACGGATCATCAAAGAATTGTATGATGGCGCCTGTGTTGGTTGGCCAAAATTGGTAAATTTATATTAGATCAACGTCATTTAGCCAGGTTGGGGCGACGTAGGTAAAACATTGACCCATCGTGGGTATGCTAATCTTATTTCCTCATTGCTAAAGTCATTAGTTTCAGCAAATCAGACCTCCAATCGAAACGTCGTTCGGTTTTTTAAATAAAATATAGAAAGAAAATTTAAAAACTCGGATACAATCGAGTGCATAAATTGGATTGGTTTGGTATTTCACCCCTGGCAGATGGTATCACACATGTTTCGACAGAAAAGACCAACAATGTTCCAATGGTGACTTGATGTTCATTCACCAAATGGTTGCGTCATGTAAACAAAAGTATCTTGACCTTGTATATAGAGTCACACTGCTTTAATCTTATGTTATTATATCAGATTAATACACGTTCTATGCGTACAGCTGCATTATGGGATTATTTTTGTTGTCGATAGGTGATATTAGAACATAGGCCTACATTTATGAAATGGAATAGAAACGACAATAACATCCACTTTTTGCAAACATATACCTGAAGGAGGGAGAACCCGATAAATCCCAAAAAGAGTGCGAGCGTGATGTGTGATTTAGATTTTTAACATAGCTTTAACAGTTTTTCAGTCATATCGCTACGATGTCTGCAATGTGACAGTTTATAATGATGTCTAGCTCTGGGGCATCATGCCGCAGACATGTGGCATGATATCCCATCCAGTTACAAGATCCTGACACCAGGCCAAGCAGTCCTATCACTAAGCTCTTAATGCTGAACGCCTAACGAGTTAGCTGTTAGTACCATTTTTAAAAGACTTTGGCATGACTCAGCCGGGGGTAGAACCCGCGCCCTTCCGCATCCGAGGCAGACGCTCTAACCACTAAGCCACCGGAGCGGTTAACCCAGTAACAGCCACTGAGTCAAGGAAATGTAATAGCAAGCTTTCTCTCCTACCAGGGTCGGATAAGGTCAAGTGTTGAGGGGGTGGGTGAGTCGAAATTTCAAAAGGGTCCTGAATTTCCTCAAAAGAGCACCAAAGCAAAAAACGTGTCAATTTGCTCAAATTGGCACATATGAGCATGAGTCTATTTTCACACGTGACAATTTGCTCAAATTGACACATACTTGTACTTTAGTGCCCTTTCGTGGTGTTAGTTTGCTCAAAGTGTGCATAACACCCAATAAACGTGCGCAATAATAAAACGAAGGTCAAATTTCACGTGCCAACTGATCATAAATTTGCGTGTGTATGCATGTGTGTGTGGGATTATGGTCTGGACATCCTACAAACAGCACTCCCGCTCCGGCCGTGCATACCTGCATGGTACTTGTGTACATAAATCAACATACGGGAACACACCGAGAGCAGATTATGAACGGCAAGTAAAAGTGTATAAGACTGATATTTTTGTCCATAGTCTATTGATTTTTGACACAACACAATAAATAACGCTTAATAGACACAATTTCAATAGACACTATTATATCTACCAATATCTTATATCCTCTTTGCTATAATTAGTAATTTTGAGAAAATAAGGAAGAATAATCTGGATTATATAAAAGCAAAGTAAATGGAGTGACATAGCTCGTGTATCACATCCGTATATGACGACTGATCCTTGCTGGATAACAATGATCTTTCGACATCTGTGCAATGCAGAATTCTTGCCATGATTTTCGTGTTCATTTTCGAACTCGCTAAACTGAAAATTCATAATATATCCTGAAATCCAGTTTAAATGCAAAGTTAAAGGGAAATGAAAATAAAAGAACCAAAGATTTTTTAACGCTTGCCACATGAAGCAGCATTTATCTTATTTTCAATTATATAACTGTATTACAGTCAGGTATAAAGCGACATTTTAAAAGCGAGTCTGAGATGGAATAGTCAGATGTAATCATATATTCTTGAAACCCAGTGGCCTGTTTCGCATGAAAAAAAATATCTACACTTGTTATATATGATATTCTCTAAATGTTTAAGATTATTAGTATAGCTTGAGCTAAACTATACGTTTTGCGAGTGCTTGCTTTAACCTGAGGCACCAGGAACAATCTTTTTCAGCTCAACTCATAGGCCGATAAATCAGCCCCACACCCGTGATGATATTGATTGATGTGTTGGGGGATGACATTGCCTATTCATTAAATCATGCAAAAAAATGCAGAAAATCTTTTCTGCAATCAGCGTGCATTTTTTCTCGTGGCTGTGGATCTACCGTCGGTTGAAAGGTATTTTTGGTAACCGGTGCAATTCCTATAATTGGCGACTTGTTAATCCACGCAAAATAGCACAATCCTCTATCTTGTGGCCATTTTGAATTTCGTGCTAAATATGGATGTTGCCTAATACCTCTAAGTGTTAAAACTGTATGCACGTGTGTTCCGGGAAGATTGCACGCAGAAGAATTGCACATTATAATGGACATGTGACATCGGAAACTACATATTTGCTATCAACATAGATGGGGGGGGTACGATGGGTAATTTATCGTACTAACGCTGCCCATGAATGAGTATTTATGTTGCACATAGAATTTAATTTAATCCCTTGCACTCTGACCCTCTTTGTAACGCCTTTTTTTATAATACCGTGTCATTAGCTCCGATCTCAGGTATAAAACCAAAACTTTCAGACCATTAGAGTGCGAGTGAAGGAGTTGACGAGTGAACCCAACGATCTCAAAACAAAGGCAAAATGGACGACCATAGCGAATTTTTCCTTTTTCACACATAATTGATCACTCCAAAAAATTTGACAAGTTTCCATTGGCTTAAAAGAAATTGTACACAGAATTGAAACAAAATACATAACACGTTAATCCCTCGAAGAAACTGATGCTTTACTAGGAGAAAATAATTGCCAGGAATTCAAGACACGACTATTTCTTCCTTTTAACTGCTGAATCTTAAAAACCATCTCTTAATGAGATGCCGTAGTATACATATTTAATTTCATCTTGACACTATTGTTATTTAGGACAACGTTTCAGATCTTTTGGTCAAATCCCTACGATAATTTATCCTTGGGGAAAGGTGACAAAAAGATTTTTTAAAAATGTCGTCATGATAATTGTATGGAAGCACGATGAGCACATTTTCATTTAGGTCCAACTAGGTATCACAAAAAGGCTAATGGTGAAACCCCATGTTGATATACCATCTATTTGGAGTGGAGTAAAGAAAAATGCTTCTAAGTTATGACTTTCCATTCAAGAATAGTAAAATGATTTTGAAGTGTTATTTACATTTTCATTGCCACGTATATTTATCTTGTGTTGTGTGTTGCTTTTCTAGACGATTATATGTATTGTGTGACTGACCTTTGTAAAAAATCAAAGTAATGACTAGTGACATTAATTTTATAAACATAATATATACCTAACATATCTCTATGAATACAGATTAACATTAAAATCATTATTATTGGACAAAAATTTGTTTATTTGAATTTAGTGCATAACATTAGTTTTTAACAAAGAAATTTCTAAACTTTGTGATAACTTTATATGTTTTAGAGAAGAGACTTACTTTTATCCTGGCTTTATTATTGTGTATAAATATTTTATATCAATGATGTTTGCTTTAAAAATTACCCATTCCCACCTTAAAATACCAAGTGGAATCAGTCATACTGTCTTGTTCAGTTTGTAATTTGGGTGGATTTATTTATTCAAATTATTATTGACTGGAATACAAAGTGATCAATAATATTTTGGGACTAAATCGTTAATTTGGAATTATAATGAATTCAGTCTGGGATTTTTTGGATTATATTATTGAGACATAAAAAACTGTTAACATATCGTCACACTCCAAGCCATTGGCACATTAGCGTATTGCAGGGTACATATATATCAGCGCATTCAAAATAGGAATTTATTTGGATTAGAATCGTAACAATATAAACAAAATTGTTCAAGACTGTGAATTTTTGCAATTATCTATGAAGAAGATAGTACATAGCAAAGTTTGGAGTAGATTCCATTTTATGATATTAAGAATGTCTATTAATTGTATAAGATCTATACATATGTGTTGTCAATATTCTAATAATATAACCCATTTACATGTTTAGGATTACTTCTCACTGGATAAGTCAGTCATGTGGGTCATTTAACAACGTGGGGATATTTGCTAAATATCACGTTGTGATTCGGAGCAAGTTGAGTTTTAGGATCGCATGCTTGTATACAAGAAAATAACTGGGAAAAATGATTCATTCCTATTTTTGGATTCTTATTTCATGTGTTCATGTGTTCTTGATTTAATATCAGTCAGCAAATGTTGTGTTTAAGTAAAAGTCGAAAGGAAAGATTTGTTTGGATTATTCATTGGAATTGCTCAGTGCTTATTGATCTAAACCAGTATTCTGAGTCTATAATTAATTTTTTCAAAAGAATGTTAGACAATGCAAAATTGATACATCAGGATCGATGGCACACAGGCGCATTCGATGATCTGAATTTCATTTGGAATATTCATTTCTTTTGCACTTAAATATATCTTTTTTAGCATTGTTTTGGATCCGGTTCTTAATACTGTAAATTTCTAAAAATATTTTTTATAATTTTATTAATTAGATTATTTGTTAAGTTTTCTGAAACATGCTGGGTTCGCTTCCTTCTGTTACTTAGTTTATAATAATACAATCGTAACATAAGATGGCTGATGTGGCGGCCATATTGGACAGCATATTTCTGTACATTTCGAGTAAGACCAAGTGGACATCATTAAAAGTGAAAACCCCAAGTCAATATGATTAAGCCGACTTGTGATAATAAGATTTGTAAGATGGCTGTCTTGACGGCCATATTGAATATCGCATAGACGTCATTTGTTATTTAGGGCTAGCAAGACATCATAAGGAGTATTTTGATGAAAACACCATATTGATACAAACTGCCAGCCAGCAGACGTAGCGATAACAAGGTTTTCAAGATGGCCTCTGCTGATACGACTATCCATGTAAGAGGAGTTTTAAAGAGATTAAGATGGAGGCGGTATCAGCCATGTTGGAGGTCAGGTCGGCATTAGTTTCATTGTTGATATGACCATCTATTCATGACGAGTAGCTATAGCAAGATTTTCAAAATGTCATTCAGTAGCAGTAAAAATATTTTAAATAAAAACTCTGTGGCGGCCATAATGGGTGTCAGATCATTTTAATTTTTTGAACCAACACGATTGCATAAGAAGTGTTTTATTGAAGACCCCATGTTGATATGACCATCCGTTCAGGATTAGTACTGATAACACTTTTTCCATGATAGCTGTAATTGGGTCCATACTGGGAATTATATCAGCATCAGTTTCATTTATGAACAACTATGAATCATAAGAAGCTCTTTAGAGAAACCCACATATTGATATGATATTCACTCTTGGGGGTGTAGCGACAACTAGAGTTTCAAGATGGTCACTGTGACGGCCATATTGGAAGTAAAAGCAGAACCATTTAATTTTGGGGAAATTAGACTACGGGGTGATTATGTTTAAATTTTAAAGGCAGTGCTCAAAATAGTTAAAGACGGACGATAGAAAACAGACCGATCCATCTTCTAGTCTATGATAAGTTGAGCTAAAACAGAAAGAAATAATTCCAAATCACTGCACCGATACATATTTAAACTCTTAAATCACTGTGTACCGAGCGGTTTAAATATTTTCTGAATCCACAAAAGCTGGCACTAACACAGCCCTCAGAATGAATATATGAGAGAGAGAGAGAGAGAGAGAGAGAGAGAGAGAGAGAGAGAGAGAGAGAGAGAGAGAGAGAGAGAGAGAGAGAGAGAGAGAGAGAGGGTGTTTCAGTATTTCTTACGTTAAATAAACATAAAGAATAGACGTTTCATTACTCCCCACCAAAGAAAAATGGGTTTGAGCAGGGAA